ACCACAGGTTAACATCTCTCTCCTAAATTACCCGATAGCCCCAAATGGAGAAGTTTAATTTTAGGAATTCCATCTTCCCATTGGAATACTCATGAAAACAACAACAGTAACAAATATGAAGTGCAGCAGCAGGGAAACTGCAGGAACGATTTCCAGGCACCTGGGTGTGGGAGTGGCTCCTCGGGGGAGGACAGCTGCAGATTTCCCTCCCACACTCCTTTTTTTTTTTTTTTTTTAATAATTTTATTTTATTATGTTAGTCACCATACAGTACATCATTAGTTTTTGATGTAGTGTTCCATGATTCATTGTTTGCATGTAACACCCAGTGATCCATGCAATACGTGCCCGCCTTAATACCCATCACTGGGCCAACCCATCTCCCACCCTCCTCCCCTCTAGAACCCTCAGTTTCTCAGAGTCCATAGTCTCCCATGGTTCATCTCCCCCTCCAATTTCTCCCCCTTCATTTTTCCCTTCCTTCTACTGTCCTCCATGCTATTCCTTATGTTCCACAAATAAGTGAAACCATCCTATTGCAGAGATGGCTGGAAGGTCGCCCCAGATGTACATGTGGTTTGTCAAAGGGAACACAAAGCCACAGGCAGAACACAATGCAATTTCCTTAAGTGTGTATTTCACTTTAAGATATGAGGGAAGCTACTTTTATATTAACATAAACATGAGTCTAAGAGAGTAGAACTTAACAGTTCAGATCACAAGAAAAAAATTTTTAACTATGCAAGTTAACTGGACTTACTGTGGTGATCATTTTGCAATATATACAAATATTGAATCATTATGTTATACATCTGAAACTAATATAATGTTATATGTCAGTTATACCTAAATACAAAATAAGAAAACTAAACTAAACTAAACATGGGTATATTGTAGACTAGCTTGGAAAATAGTGATTCCAAAGGAATTTCATGCTTATTGAAGACTGTTTTTGAGATATCTTTTAAGATTCCCAGGAGTATAAGTGGAAGAGTTTGTGAAGCTCTGTATCATCATTTGTTATGGGTAGGTTTGGTTAAAGAAGGTTTTATAGGGAGAAAGTTTTTGTGGGTTAATACTGAATACATTTATATTCAATATTTTCATATATATTATATATCAATATTATATATATGTATATATAATGGCATACCCCCCAAATTTATATATTGAAGTGGTTATTCACTAGGCCTGTATATACATATTAAATTTTTCTGAGTTGTTAGAACAACTGTTGCAATTGAAAATAATTCAGCAAATAGGATCATTTTCTGTGTAGTTTATGGGCTCAGGAACAGGCCAGGAGCATTGCAATTTGAGTTACCGTTAGCCCACTCAGCCAATCTCCACATATCACGGGCTGGTAATTTGACCTACAGCTCCCTTGAAGTGAGTTTGCACTGAACACAGAAAGCTCTTTTTTTCTCCCTTTTTGCCAAACATTAAATGGACTTTTATATGTGCCTTTTTTTTCCCCTCACAAAATCATGATTTGATTCAACAAAAATATTACACACCTTCCTTCTGAGGGTTTCGTATCCTTTCCTTAGACTCACAGCCATACTTTTTCGGCAGCTGTCTGCCCTCTGAGCCTGAGTAGGTAAGACTGAGAGAGGCAGGCCTTGAATTTAGCGGTGCCTAAGAAAACACAGGTGGCAGTGAGAAAAATATCTTCCAATGACCTTTCTTTTCAAGACTCAGGAAGTCTTCTGCTTCTCAGTGCTCTTATCATTGCTGCGAGGTTTTGATCTTTTCCCATCTCTAGTGTGTGCTGGTTTTTAAGGCATATTAGAGCAGAAGCTGAAAGAGCCTCCTATATTTAGAGAGCAGGAGGTGCTCTCCCCAGGATGGAAGCAGCCCCACCTGGTCTTTCCTGGCCACCTCCCAGAGGCCAGGGCTGGGGGGTGTGTCTGATGATGGAGACCACTGGAGCCACTTCAGCAATGGAAGCTGGCGCCATGTTTATTACATCGGCTGATATGTAGATTGTGGTGGGTAGGACAGAATGCCTGATGATACCATTAATTCACCACTCTGCAACAGGTAGCCCGCTTTCCAGCTACTTTGCATGATATCCAGACTTCCTGGCAGTAAGGCTTGGCGGTTCCCAGAGCCTGAGGCAGCACCACTGAGCTCAGTTGCTTCCATTTTTTAATGATCCCCTAATCACTGGTTGAAATACCTAAGATAATCATGGCCACAGTGATGTGCTATTTTGGGTTACTGGAAACGGAAATTTGTTTTTTGCTGAAGACTGTTTATCAAACAGTTTAGTAACTTTTATATCAGTAATACTAGGAGTCCTATCTGTCTTATCAGCCAATTGTACTATAAAAGAAAGATTCACTATGAAGTCTTCAAAGTCACTGAAGTTCTTATAACATTGTAAGTTAAAATCCAGAGAGATATCTAAACTTATTTGATCCAAGTTTTCAGAGTCCTAAAACCATTGTGGTTTAGATGGTATCTGTTTATGATTGACACAAATTGTCACAAGTGTAAAAATTCTTGAGTTGTGGGGTCTTGCAGTCCATCTGATAGACCATCTGCACACAACAGAAACTTGTGTTTGTCTGGAGTGTTCAAGAGGCGGAAGGTGGGGGTTCAGATTTGGATGGGTGAAGTGCAAGGTTCAAACCACATACACGCTATATACTTCAAGGAACAAATCTCAACTGCTGCAACCTGCTCCTAGTTTTTCAGAACAGAAATTGATTATAAAGGAGGCAAACAAACAACAACAAAAAACCCCAACCAAATATTGGATCATAACATTAATTTTTGTGACCATTTCTATCTGTGAGTGTGTGAGACATTAATTAGGTTCTGATTCTGCAACAGGCAACACTTTGGCCTTGAACCCAGTTCTGTGGGATGATGTCCCCAAGAAGGCCCTACTTCTGCCTTGACAGCCAATACTTGGGGAGTAAGCTACCCAGAAGCTTTATACAGGCAGGCCTTGGAGGGCAGACTCAGTGATTATGGCCTTGTTCCTGCACTTACCAAGAGGAAGAGGATAGACTGGAGCCTCCCCCCACACTTTGTGCAATTCTGGGATAAAATATTTCAAAGGTCAAAAAGCCTTTAAAAAGGGGGGGTCCTCTGGTCTCCCTGTGGAAGATGAACAAGTACTATTAAAATATTCCCATTTCTGGTAAATAAATCAATTCCCAAATACTTATAGAATGCCTTCTGAGGTAAAAATCTTGATCCAGAATTGTTCATGAGAGCAATTTCATCTGCAGAAAAAACTCACCTACATCAAATGGCAAGATTATAACCATGCAAGGGCCAACTGCATAGCCCAAACAGCAACATGCCGGTTTACAGCCTGTTGGTGGGGTGTGGGTTGGGGGATGTTGTCCAATCCAGACTCTATCCTAAGAAATTAGGTAATTCAATGACAATAACATTTTTAGCTGCAGCTTAAGGGAAGTTTACAGCTTTAAAACAGGAAAAGGAAAACAATAAGTAAGAAACTATAAAATAAATTTAGCACACAAATTTCTGTTACATTTTATACCCAGCGGTACATAGCTTTTACTTTAGGAAATGACAGGCTTATTTGGAGGGCCAGCAACTTCTGGAATCTCTCTCTTTTTTATTGAAATGCAAGTGGGAGCAGTGTTGGATACACTTAAAGATTAGTTTTTTATTTCTTTGTAAATTTCAAATTGTGTCTTTAATATGTGTCTAAAGGATTTTTTTCTTTTAATGTTTATAGGTAATCTTATGGCAAAATGAACCTTTGCTGTAAATTAGAATCTGGGTATAATTATTAGCCCCATTTTACTGAGTGGTTCCAGTGAGCCTGGTCCTGCATTAAGCACTAAAATGTATTATTTTATTTAACTTACTTAACATTATGATGCAGGTATTTTTATTAACCCCATTTTACAGACGAGAGAAAACAGGATAAGAAAAGTTACACTGCTTGCTAGCAAGCTACTAGCTACTAGCAGGTTTTGTACTAGGAACTCAGATCTGCCTGTCTCCAGAGCTTGAGATCTTAATCTATTCTGCTGACTTTAATTAAATATCATAAGCTTGGGAACTCTTGGGGAGCCATAGCAACCTATGTGTTTAAGGAGACATCATTAGATGAGCTGTACATGCAACAACCCCCATATTGTATTGTAGTTTCTTTTAAAGTTTTTAAAAAATGAATATAAGAGGGGTCTCTGACCAATAAACTCAAATCTCCAAAATGGCTGAATATGCCATGTGCTATTTCCCCAGCATTTGGGTTTCAATAAACAGCAAAGCTGGGATGGTCACTCACTTCCCTGGGCTTCAAAGACTTTAATGTCCTGCTCCCGTGGTTGGAGAGCTCTGAATTTCATCATTGGTGGCATGTGTTGTCTGAATGGAAAGGGTCCGGGTATAGTGGGAAGTTGATAGGATTTGTAGTTCAAAGGAGGTCAGGAATCCCAGGGACTCTACTCTGCCTTAAAATCTCAGTTTTCTTACCTTTAATAGAAATGCTATCAATATCTATTCAACTGGAGTGTTAGCATTAAATTAGACAGTACATGTAAATGAAATTTATGAGTTATTGTTTTTGGAGGCATTCAAGTTCTCTTCCACTGCTTGACAACATGTGGGCTGGTACCTTACCATCTTCTGCTTCTAAGAACCTGTTAGAGTCACTTTTTTTCTGAGACTACTCTATCTGATGGGATCTGGCTGGAAACAGATGGTGCACTCACACTGGGAAGAGTTTAATAAAGGAACTATTTACTAAGATGTGTGATGGATTTAGGAAAAGCAACAAGGGATGTTGCAGTACCCCAGTGGGAAGACATTACCAATGCTAGGTCTGGAGGCACAATGGGAGGGAGTGTTTACCAGAACCCAGAGTGTTTGGAGAGCGCCTCCTGACGAGAACTGTGGCCTTTGGTGGAGGGATGCAATCTACCCACAGAAACCTACTTGGGAGATCCTGGGGAAAAAAGTTTCTTCTGACCTCACGTTCTTCCCTCCCTTGATCTCCTGCAGACACTACCACTGGCTGGATTCCAATGGAAGCCACACGGGAAGGGAGCTCTTGATGCAGCCTGCAGCTCACACAGGTTGGTTCCTGGGGCAGAGAGCAGGTGGAGGAGTGGAAAGTAGCTCTGGGCAAGTAGAAGGTATTGAGCACAGCCACGTGGCCTTCCAAATATGTTAACCAATAATCTTTATCACTTTGTTCAGATTTGGCCTAGTCAACCCTAATTCAACATTATGTTGTCTTTGGTGGCTCTTCCTCCCCTTCTGTATTTTCTCCATTTCTAGAGACATTCACTCTTCACCTCTAAGCTGTCTTGTGCTCTTTTGCTCCTCTAAGTCTTCTTGTTATGAAAAAAATTAATTTAAGATGTTAATTTGCACACTTAAATGTCTTACGCCTAAATGTTATTTAAAAAATGCATACTGATTTTTACTCCTGAAATCCTAAGTTTGCTACCAGACTGACTGCAGGTGAAAAATACAAAGAACAGCTACCTGAAGGCACTGGAAAGTGAATAAATGCAAATAGATTATGGAGGGTGGCTGGCACTTGGATGAGAGGACAAGACAAGGAATTCATTCCTTATTTATGGTTTTTAACTGAAGTATAGTCCATAGGCAATGTCCATAGTCTTTCTGGCCAAAAGAATTAGAGGTAAGAGATAGGGGTGCCTGGGTGGCACCCTCTTGTCTGACTCTTGGTTTTGGTGTGGGTTGTCATCTCAGGGTTGTGGGATTGAGTCCCAAGTCCCAAGTCCAGCTCCATGCTTAGTGCAGAGTCTACTTGGGACTCTCTCTCCCTCTCCCTCTCCCTATGCCCTTCCCCGCCACTCTCTCTCTCTCTCAAAAAAATAAATATTAAAAAAAATCATTTTGGGGTGCCTGGGTGGTTCAGTCAGTTAAGCATTTGAGTTTGTCTAAGGGTCCTGGGTTCGAGCCCTGTGTCAGGCTCCTGGTTCAGTGGGGAGTCTGCTTGTCCATCTGCCCCTCTCCCACCTGCTCTCTCTCATAAATAAATAAATAAATAAATAATCCAAAAAAAAAAAATTAGAGGAAAGAGTTGAAAGCGACCACAGCCATTGAAAAGTGAGGAGGAAATCTCTATAAGGAGACAGCCAGAGAGGGGAGCCCCAAATTCTGTCAACTTCCCAAATTTCTGGCTAGCCCCTGAACCACGAATGTATGTGGCACACTACAAGCAACTCAGTGAAAGGTAAGTAAACTGAACTGAAATATGAACTGTTACCCAAAATACAAAGTACTTAAAAATTTTTGTTTGGTTTGCCAAAACAAAAATATCATACTCTTTTGGGAGAAGTATAATAGAACACAGAGTCCTCCCAAGAAAACATTCACAATGTCCAGGATACCATCCAGAGTTACTTGACATATGAAGAGCAAGAATGGGGTTCTTGATATATTTTTTTAAAGATTTGTTTATTTATTTGAGAGAGAGAGAGAGAGATCATAAGCTGGGGGGAGGGGCAAAGGAAGAGGGTGGGAGTCTTAAGCAGACTGTGTCCTGAGTATGGAGCCCGATGTGGGGTTTGATCTCACGACTCTGAGATCACGACCTGAGCTGAAACCAAGAGTTGGAGGCTTAACTGACTGGGCCATCCAGGCGCCCCTTGATATTTTTCAAAAGAAAATATAATTCATATAGATCAATCCTGAAGTGACTCAGATATTGGAATTGGCAGATGTGGATTTTAAACCAACTATCATAACAATAATTAGAGGCAAATTAAATCTTTAAGGGCTTATGTTAGAAAAGAAGAAAATTCCAAATTGATAATCTAAGGTACTCCCTTAGAAATCTAGAAATATTAGAGCAAATTAAATTGCAATTCAGTAAAAGGATGGAACTAATTAAGATAAAAACAGAAATAAAAAAGAAAACAAACATTAGAGAAACTATGTTATTTATAGGAGGTGCACTTTAAATATACAGACACAGAAGTAAGTTGATTCTTGAAAAGATCAAGAAAATTGACAGACCTATAGCTAGACTGATCAAGAAAAAAACATTGAACACCAATTACTAATATCAGGAGTGAAAAAGAGGATATAACTACAGACCCCACAGAGATATAAGACAATATGCTGACTATTCTTTTTGCCCGTGATTCCAGGACACTAGGAGACCAACATGCCCTCAACAGTCAGAACTTAGAGATTAATGGGACTCTTGCTGTGTCCTCAGTCAAGAATGTAACCCTTTTAGGGTCAAGGCCTCCATCTCTGCAGAGCCCAGAATTGTGGGGACAGGAAGGACCCAGTGGGTCATTTCAGGTAGTGGCAAGTGGGGTCTCTCCTGTTAGTGCACTGAAACACTAGGGCATTTTGGTTGTGAAATGTTTGGGTACGGGAATACTGTCATCGAGAACACCCTTCCAAAATTCCTTCCACAAATATGAGCAGTCTCTCTTGTCACTATGACCTGATTTCCATCTTTTTATTACCCTTGTCCATGTAACACACCTCAAAGCGGACCCTTTGCTTAAGAAGTATCTCCTTAATCCTCTACCACTTCTGGAGGGGAAAGGAAGTAGAGTGGGGGCAAGAACTAGGTTTACCTGCAGGAATATAGTTAATGCTCACCATGTGCTTGCTCCTCTATTATTTCCCAGTCTCCTTTGCAGTTAGTTCTCGTCAATGGACTGTGAGTGGGTCTTCTGAGTTGATGCAGTTAAGAGCCAGTGTACCTCCTCTATGGCATTCTATGGCACTCTTGCCCTGGTATGACAACCTTGGAAGCCACATGTTAGAGATAATGTAGCTATAATATGAAGCTACCCAACACCTATCAACTTTTATTCTGCTAAGCCTCTAAGATTTCTTGTTTATTTGTTGTGGTAGCAAGTGCTAGTTACCTTGGTTAATAAATCTATTCTCTCCACACCCACCAATCAATAAAAAACATTTTAGGACTCTAATTATAAATGTATTTACACTTGGAAAAAGATTAGTCAATTAAAACTTTGGTGTAGGTTCTATGTGCTCAGCATTATGCTTGGTGTTTTGCTATGGAGTGCCTACTCTGGGTAGGTGAAACCCTCTTTCCTGGTGGCTGTGACCTTTCTTACACGCCCAGATAAAAAGAAGTTAAGATATTTTAAAGCATGCCATGTCACCTTTATTCAGTTCTTACCAGGACATGGAGAAAGTTATTGGCTGCCCAGATATACAGAGGATGTATATTGCTGCATATTTGGGCTCCTTCTCTGGTTTACTTTGTAATCCTTTATAAATCTCATTCCTAAAATTAGAACATCACCAGCTAATCTCTTAATGTAAGTACATGCAGCAGTTTCTTACTATGTATTCTCTGTCTAGCCATGAGAATTGATGCTTTTGCCACAGCAGCACCTCATTTGGTTATCTGAGTCGTGGGGTTAATTTATGAGCAGTTTCTGCTGCTGTGGTCATTGGTTCCTTCATTAGTGTCTATCTTATCAGTTCAGATGTCTTTTGCTTTGAACCCACACTTTGTTGACTCGTCCTTATAACTCCTCTATTTTCCTCTTTGTCTTTTTATTAAATAAAATTTATTAACCCTATAAACAGACCAGTTGCATTGTGCAACAGGCACAAATGTTAGTTGATTTATATGTGCAATTTTGTGTCCAACTCTGTGAGGTAGGTGTTTCTGTTCTCTCTTTACAGATGAGAAAATGGAAGCTCAGTGAGGACACAAAAAGAATGTTAATGAATGAATGATAATGTCTCTTTGATAAAATCTCTTTGATACAGTCAGGTAGAGAAATAATATGGACATGAGAGGAGTTATTAAAATAATAGCAATATTGGGCGCCTGGGTGGCTCAGATGGTTAAGTGTCTGCCTTCAGCTCAGGTCATGATCCTAGGGTCCTGGGATCGAGTCCCGCATTGGGCTCCCTTCTTAGCGGGAAGCCTGCTTCTCCCTCTGCTTCTCTCTCTCTCTCTCTGTGTGTCTCTCATGAATAAATAAATAAAATCTTAAAAAAAAATAATAGCAATATCTGTGTACTCTGAACAACCAAACTTTGCTGAGAGAAATTAAGGAATAGCTAAATAAATAGATATACTGAATTCTTGGGTTGGGAGACTCAGTATTGTTAAGTGGTTAATTTTCCCCAAATTGATCTACAGATTCAAAACAGGCTTTATTTTAATTTTTATTTATTTATTTTTAGAAATTAAGAGGCTGATCTAAAATTTATATAGAAGTGCAAAGGCTTTAGAATAGCCAAACAACTTTGAAAAAGAACAAAGTTGGAGGACTCATGTCAAGATGGACAAATGTCAATGGATATAGTGGAAAAATTAATCCACATATCTAGGGCCAATTGATATTTGATAAAGATGCAAAGACAATTCATTGGAGAAAGGGTGGCCTTTTCAACAATCAGTGCTTAAAGAAATTCTTGGGGGGCGATAGATATGTTCATGACTTGATTGTGGTGACAGTTTCACAGGTGTATAATATGCCAAAACTTAGACTGTACATCTTAAATATATGCAGTTTATTGTATGTCAATTATACTTCAATAAAGATGCTAAAATAGCAATGACCACTGGGAATATTATTTGAGAGGCTGGAGATGATAGTGTAGAGATTGAACTCTAAATCCAGCTTTTCCACTTACTAGTTGTATGACTTGGGATGGGTTAATTCCTCTGAATCTGTTTTTATATACGTAAAATGGAAAAAACTGTTCCTACCTCATTTGGTGTTTGTTGAGTGTTGTTTACTGATGCAAAGCCCTTATGGTATTCCTGAGCATATAGAAAGTATTTAACAAATGTTAAAAAGTCATGTGCTGGGCACTATGCTGAGTATGTTATAAGAATTATCTTATTTAAACTTCACAATCTTATGAAATAAGTACCAATATCCTTATTTTATAAATGGGACAACTGAAGTGCCAAGAGGATTTATAACCTATCCCAGGTTGGTTGCATAGGATGCAAGTAGCAGAATCTGGATTTAAATAAAGGCAGTCAAACTCCATACACTTTTAATCCTATGACTAAGTGTTAACAGATGAGGCACTGACTCAAGTGCTGATAAGCAAATTGTCCAGACAGTGCCCATGT